TCGTATAGCAACGAGCCATTTCTTCCGCATCTCTAGCTTCTTAGGAATATGATGAAAACTGAGATCATGGTGAATTCTAGCATTCCCATTACATAAAGGCACGCAACAATATTCGTCTCGTTTAGAAATTGTTAATTCACATGTTGGAGTGTTTTCGTTTGACTCCATGTTGATGCTGACGCTGACCTAGCTTAGCCTCGTTTTCAATAGCTTGACCTCAGGTCAATGAATATATGAATAATTTTCGAGAACAGTCTATATGTTTATCTTTCTTTAACTATGAATAAATCAAACGTCTGCAAGTTATAAATAAGTGTAGACTTTATAAATTTTCTAAAGGTAAAGAGACTGAGTATGCATTGAAAATAAACATCCATTGGTTAATCTGATAAAGATATTCGACAAGTGTTGACCTGACCAGCTTCATTCCTGCTGATTTGCTGGACATGAATGATGCATTCGAGAATGGCCAAATGTTATGTAACCTGTAATGTATAATGTGATAATAATGACATCAGCTCCAATGCACTGGCTTGTTGTTTCGGTGTTTAGCATGTTCGCATTACTCCCCATGCTCTCCAATTGATAGTAAAGATAGTATGAAGTTTCCAAGATCGAGTTATCAAAAGAATTCTATTGAACGGCTTGACCAACAAGCCTTGGCTAAATCTAATACTGTCTGACGCCATGACGTCAGACAATTAAGAGACATTTATTTTGAATATGCCCCTGAAGAAATTGACATCAATGCATACACACAAAAAAAATACAAACAAAAACAAAAACCTTCGTTCTTTTGTAATGTGTACTTCAACAAAGTCTCAAGAGAACATAACCTCATTAAATATATAGGAACAAAATCACCAACCTTCCATTATAACTGGGTTTTCAATCACAAAAATGGGAAAAAAAACCCATAGAGTTCCTTATGACTAAGCGCAAACTGCCTAGAAAAATTGGTCTTTATTTCAGTTAGTTCTATATGAATTATTAACAGTTAAATTTATGCATGAACTTTTATTCATGTCCATTTGCACTAAATTATTTTGAAATCAGTTTTTTTTAATTTCTAATAATGATACAAATAAATACTATGCTTTCAACAATTGTCCATTTCAAAATTGAATATATTACAGAATGTTCTACTTCATGGATACAGTGTTTCAATCCCTTATTTCTACAAAAATATCCTACTGTGTATTTATTTGATCATACAAACATCTCATAATTTTATTAATCTCAATTTACACGAAATTATTTTTGAAACAAGCTAATTCAGAGAATTTGTGCCCCCTGCTTAGGGAATAAAGAAGAGCATGCACAGTTCTGGGGTGGGGTGGGGTCGGACCCCCCCCCCCCCCCCTGGATTTGTAGAATTATAAAATGTATACATGTATATTGAAGCAAATAAAAAATGCCAATATGGATATAAAGATCGAATTGCTTATTCTTTATTATGTGTATAGAGCATTCTTTATAATATATAGAATATTTATCACACTGTAATGATGATTTTATGAGTTTGTACACGCCAGACGAGATAACTTTCTCATTTCACATGTTGAATAGTATCATTTAGTACATCCAATAAAAACATTTTAAAAAATTGGATTGTCCGGGATTTGAACCCGAGCCTCTCGCTTGCTAAGCAAGCATCATACCCCTAGACCATGGAGGCACTTGATTATACAGCAAATTATTTCAAAATGGTAGTGTCAAAAGTCAGTAATGATAATGTTGTAAGAGTTATGCTTCCTTGACTATGTAACAAGAAGTTGATCTACTCAATTCCATAATATGACTTAACTCATATTGAGTTAAGTCTGATTAAATGCAAACATTAGGTCACATATAATGTTTATATTCACGTTCGATATTGTCAAAATTTTACACATTACATATTGTCTAATTTAGCCTTTACTAAACAGTTCTAATAGATGTAATTAGAATATAAAGTCGGCCGACAACCTGTATTATACGTAATAACTCTCCACATGCCCCTGTGCTAAAAATAGTGCCAAAACGACTTTTAATATACAATAAATAAAAAACAAGATGTGTTTGTGAAACACTGATGCCCCCGTTTGGCAGCTTATGGCGAAGGCTAAAGTTTCTCAAATGCAAGTCAAAATCCAGGCCAAAAGATAAAAAATGTTTAATTTGAAAGCCCTAGCTGCAACTGTTCAAAAGTTATGGCGAAGGTTAAAGTTTTTTAAAAGTAAGTAAAACATCAAGGTCAAGGTCAAAGTTGTTGGTATCCGAAGGAAGGTCTTGTCACAAGGATTACATATGTAAAGTATGAAAGCCCTAGCACCATCCATTCAAAAGTTATGGCCAAGGATAAAGTTTTTCAAAAGTAGGTCAAACTCCTATGTCAAGGTCAAAGTGGTTGGTATCCGAAGGAAGTTGATGTCACAAAAATTACATATGTGAAGTATGAAAGCCCTAGTATCAACCATTCAAAGGTTATGGCCAAGGTTAAAGTTTTTCAAACGTAGGTCAAACTCCTAGGTCAAGGTCAGAAGGTCAAAGTGGTTGGTATCCAAACGAAGGCCTTGTCACAAGGATTACATATGTGAAGTATGAAAGCCTTAGCTCTAACCGTCAAAAGTTATGGCCAAGGTTAAAGTTTTTCAAAAGTAGGTCAAACTCCTAGGTCAAGGTCAAAGGGTCAAAGAGGTTGATATCCAGAGGAAGGTCTTGTCACAAGAAATACACATGTGAAGTTTGAAACCCCAAGCACCAACTGTTCAGAAGTTATGGCAAAGATTAAAGTCTCATAAAATTTTGCAAAAGTGGGTCAAACTCCAAGGTCAAAAGGTCAAATATGATGGTACCCAAAGAAAGGTCTTGTCACAAGAAATACACATGTGAAATATGAAAGTTATGGGCAAGGTTAAAGTTGACAACAGATAAACAAACAGATAAACAGACAGACAGGACAAAAACAATATACCCCCGGGATCTTTCGATCCCGGGGCATAAAAAAAAACAGGGCGGGACACTTTGAGAGGAGCGAGAGGTGCCATAGGGAGTTATGGTATAAAATTTCTTTGAAAAGGTCAAAGGCTTTTTGAGATATCGCTCGGAAACGAAAGTGTTACACACAGACGGAATTTGTGAATTTACGACCTTCAACTTTGACCTTTTGACCTCAAAATCAATAGGGGTCTTCCTTAGGCCACAGGGAGTTGTTGTGTAAAATTTCATTGTAAAAGCCCAAAGGATTCTCGAGATATCGCGCGGAAACGAAAGTGTTAAAAAACAGAATTTATGACCTTTGACCTTAAAATCAATAGGGATCTTCTTAAGGCCATAGGGAGCTGCTGTGCAAAATTTCATTGCGAAAGCTCAAAGGGTTCTCGAGATATTGCGCGGAAACGAAAGCGTTACAGACAGATATACAGACGGACGGACAGACAGACCCAAATTAATATCCCCCACTTTCAGTGAAAGCGGGGGATAATAAATACTATGCTTTCAATATTTTGTCCATTTAAAAATTGCATATATTACAGAATGTCCAGTATCATGGATGAAGTGTTACAAGACATTATTTCTACAACTACAACAACAACAAAAGAGAAAAAAAAACCTACTGTATATTATTCCATATTTTGACATACAAGATATGTTAAGTAAAAAAAATATTATTGAATTTTGCAACACGGATAAAATGCTTATTTGCAAATCCATTGGAATCACTAACAATGGCGTCGTTTTTTATACAGGGAAATAAAGTGTGAAAATACAAGAACGTAGACATTTCCATAGCTTTTTACTTTTTATGTTCAAACCCGGTAACAACTGTGGTATTCTAATTGAAACTCCTTATACTCAGCCCATATATATCTTGCGCCAGCAAGAAAATGTTTTACAATTTTAAGCTTGTCATGTTTGACAAAGTATATCAATTCTTTTTTTATGGAGGACGTTATTTAAAATTTAAAATGTACCAATTTTATTTCCATACTAGATTAACACTGTACCACAAGGTTAACAAGTACATTTCCTAAATGACACTAACTGACTTTGTATTTTATGGAAGAAGAGCAACTAGGTTAAGGACGTCCATGAATAACTATATGAAATATAAGCACTAAAATCTATTCAAATTTAGACAAATGATACAAACTCATCCCATAATAGCAATCATAAAACATAAACATCATTATGTTACCATCGACCTCTCATACATTTATGACATGAATCTAGTCGCTGCATCAGCTGAGTATCACGTGATAGGATAAAAATAGATCATCTTGACATGACTGTATTGATCGCGAACGTTCAACGATATACTGATCATATTGTAAACTGTTGTTCATATAACTTGAAAGAAAATGAGTTTCTTAATCTGAAAAGTGCTGGGAGCAAATATAACACATCCAGTAACATACCGAATTTTTGCATTGAATAGTCAAGTGTAATGGACAATCTGTATATTTTATTCTGAATTCCAATTTTGTCCGTAAGTTTCGATTTCTGTGCATTCCAATTTTATCAGAATGAAACGTTAATCAAATGTTGAGAAATGCACGAGCGCCATATTTAGATCAATGAGTGCAGTAGTTTGTTGTGTTCTAGCTGAAAGTACCAGACATACATCACGGTAATTATATATTAATTATTTATTACATACTGTCTGCTATATGCATTTACTTGTTACATTGAATTTGAGTAGGAATTTGTCATATTACCACTGTTTACAAAGTTTAATATAAGGAGCACTTTTTGTGTCATGATTTATATTGATAAAAGGTTACATTATATGTATATTCTGTATTGAGTACAAGTATTTATTATATTTACATTTCATTTGTAGTCAATCTATGTCAGAAACAGGGACTTAGTCATAATATGTCAGAGACAAGGACTTTGTTATACAATGCCAGAATGTGTCCATGTTAATAAAGACATTGAATTGAACCTGTGTCGTGGGTACAAGAGAACACTACAACATTGACGTGATTCCATGAACGATCCAGGTTATGAGCATAATGCCCGTTACAGAAGAAACAGGATCGGGAACACGAAACAGAAAATTAACAGACAAAGGAAAGGTATATAAACATGAACAATACAATAAAACATTTAGAACACTGAAGATAACAAGTGGTGTGATAAGACAGATTATTTCTGATAATGAATCTCCAGAAACAGTAAGAAGAAAGTATGCTGCATGGCTTGAGGATTATGAGCGTTTTCTTGTTATATTTGATGAACTTGTCTCTCAATTAACTGACAAGGAGGAGAGAGAAGAATTGCTTAAGACTCATTATGATTACGATGTGTTTCTCATGAACTTTAAGAAAGAAATAGAGGAGTTCTTTTCCTACCACCAGAGTGTAAAGGAGGAATCACAAGTAGAAGCAACAAAAGAAACTGTCAGAAGCTTGAAGTCCAAGTCTCGCACATCTATAGCTACAAGTATATCATCCAAACGCCTTGAAGAAGAACAAAGAGTAGCTGAGTTAGAAGCTCGCAAAGCAGCACTTTCCCATAAGAAGGAGTTAGAGATAGCGAAAGTCAAAGTAAAACTTGAAGAAGAAGAGTTGGACTTGAATACAAATATTGCTATTGCGAATGCTAAAACAGAAGTCCTTCAGAAATATGAAAGGTGTAGTGATGCTGATTTGCATGATGATGTTTCTAACATTGATATAGTGAATCCTAGAACATTAGCACCAAAACCAACGCCAAGAACGCCTTTGTTTCCGAGTGAGTTTGCATCAGTACCGTCCTTGTTTGAGAGGCCTCTGAATCCGAACGCAGAGACATTCATACCCAAACGTGAAGAAATTCCACCACTTGACCTTCATTGCCTTGATGAAACAAAACCACAGACCTCTGAATCTGATGTTATGCAGTGTGTTGTACAATACCTCCGGAAACCTGTACCAGAGATAAAGAAATTTGGAGGCAATCCGTTAGAATTTAGACGTTTTGTCAGACAGTTTAATACCAAAGTAGTGATGAATACTAAAGACAATGATGAACGAATGAATTATCTTGAGCAAATGACTTTTGGGGAAGCATACAGAGTAGTGTCTGGATTTAGTCATATGTCAGGAGACAGAGCCTACAAAGCAGCTATGAATCAGCTTGAAGAGCGGTACGGAGACAGTGAGGTAATTGCAACAGCATTCATAAAGAAGGCATTAGACTGGCCAGCAGTGAAGGATGCAAAGATGCTAGATGAGTTCTCATTGTTCCTTGTGGAGTGTCAGAACGCAGCTGAAAGCATCGATAGTGTTTCTGTCTTAGATTATTCAGACAACATAAAGAGACTTATGACAAAACTTCCTGTGTATATGCATGATAGGTGGAGAAATGTTGTACTGAAAACTAAAGAAGCCAAGAAGACAGTGAAGTTTAAAGATTTTGTAGTTTTGTGAAAACAGAAGCTAAGAAATCGAATGATCCTACGTATGGTAATGCATCTATTGGTGGAAATTCCAGAAATCAAGATCGTAACTAGAAGAGAGCTGTTGCGTCTACTGATGTTACAAGTGAAGTACAAGACTTTAACGTACGAGAACAGAAATGTGAATTCTGTGAAAGTAGTACCCGTGCACTGAATGACTGCAAGAAGTTTGTAACCAAAGGACTTCAAGACAGATACAACTTCCTGCGAAATAATGGACAGTGTTATGGATGTCTTAGGAAAGGCCACATAACTAAAAAGTGCAAAGCAAGACTTAAGTGTTCCATATGCAGCAGGCGTCACCCTACGATACTACATGATCCTGCGAAATGCGTAGCAAAACGTACAGATGAAGACAAAGAAAACATTAATCCTATGTCAACAGATATCAAAACTACATGCAAGTTCTCCAAACCTCACATCAGTGCCTTTAGTGATAAAGGGGCCGGAGAAACAACCTGTGCTATGGCAATAATTCCAGTGAGAGTTAAACTGAAAAATAAACCGTATAGCATAGAAACTTATGCATTCTTTGACTCTGGCAGCAGTGTGTCATTTTGCACAGAAAACATAATGCATCGACTTGGAGCAAATGGCAAGAAGAAACAAATCACCATAAAGACAATGGGGAATTCTCAGAGATTGAACACATATGTTATCAGTGGTTTGCAAGTGTGTGGACTTTCAATGGAACATGTGATTGATCTACCGAATGTGTATACAAAGGAACATATGCCTGTATCAAAAGAACACATTCCAACGCAGCAAGAGTTAAAACAGTGGCCACATCTGTCAACAATTCAAACATCAGAAAAAGATGCAGAAATTGGAATTATGATTGGAAATAACATACCAGATGCTTACTCTCCATTGGAAGTAATTGCTGGGCCAAGTGGTTCTCCCCACGCAACAAGGACACGACTAGGATGGATAGTATGGAATGTCATAAGAGAAAATGCATCAGATACATTTGACATAAACAGAGTAGCTATAGAAGATGCTCAGGAAAGAGACAGAAACTTAGAAAAGATGGTGAAAGATTCCATAAACTATGACTTTCCAGAACGTCTTGTGGATGATGTAAAAGAAAACTCTTTAGAAGATAAGAGCTTCTTAACTCAAGTTTCAGAATCTATTCACATTCAGGATGGTCATTACTCAATTGGACTTCCGTTTAAGGATCCCTTTATTCAGTTACCCAACAATATCATGCAAGGATTTCAGAGACTTGGGAGTCTAAAGAAGAAACTGATAAAGGATCCAAAGATTAGAAATGACTATGTGACTTTTATGAACAAGCTGTTTGAGAAGGGATATGCAGAACCTGTTCCTCAAAGTCAGCTACAAAGAGAGGATGGCAGAGTATGGTACCTACCGCACCATGGAGTTTACAACAATAAAAAACCAGGGAAGATTAGAGTTGTGTTTGACTGCTCTGCAGTGTATATGGGGATTTCACTAAACAGCCAGTTACTTCAAGGACCTGACCTAACAAATAGTTTACTTGGTGTACTTTTAAGATTTCGTCAGGAGAAAATTGCTATACAAGGAGATATTGAGGCTATGTTTCACCAAGTATTAATCCCCGAACAAGATCGAGACTGTCTAAGATTTCTGTGGTGGAAGGATGGCAATCTAGATGCCAACCCTGAACAATACAGAATGAAAGTTCACATCTTTGGAGCCACTTCCTCTCCAACTTGCTGTAACTATGCACTACAACAGACAGCTAAAGAATATGGTTCCGACTTTGATCCTACAGTGGTGACCACAGTATTCAAGAATATGTATGTAGGTGACTGTTTGGCTTCGGTTGACACAGAGAAGAAAGCGGCCTTACTCATTAAAGATCTGTCTACACTTTGTAGCAAAGGTGGTTTTCATCTGACAAAATGGATTAGTAACTCAAAACAAGTCTTAAAATCTGTTCCAGAAGATGATCGAGCTAAAGATGTGCAGGAATGGAACCTTGAAGGTGAAAGTGAAACACTTGTAGAACGTGCACTAGGTGTGTACTGGCTTGTTAACAGTGACCATTTAGGATTTCTGATAAACATTAAAAATCAGCCAACAACCAGAAGAGGAATTCTATCAATAGTGAGCTCAATATTTGATCCTCTTGGTATCGTGTCACCTTTCGTGATGACAGCAAAGACACTTCTTCAAAAAATGTGCAAAAATTCAATTGGATGGGATGAAGAGATTAAAGGAAGTCAGCTTAAGGACTGGAAAAATTGGCTGACACAAGCAAAAGAACTTGAAAATGTAACACTTGAAAGATGCTACAAGCCACAAGACTTCGGGAGGACGACATGTCAGGAGTTGCACTGTTTTGCAGATGCAAGTGAAGTTGGAATAGGAGTTGTTATATATCTACGACTCATCAGTGAGACTGGACAAATCCACTGTTCCTTTGTTCTTGGAAAGTCAAGAGTGGCACCGTTAAAAACAGTGACGATACCGAGGCTTGAGTTGACGGCATCAACTTTAGCAGTGAAATTATGCAAGATAGTTACAAAACAGTTGGATAACCAAGTTGATCAAGTTTACTTCTGGACAGATAGCATGTCAGTTCTTCGTTACATAAATAACACAAAAACTCGTTTTCAAACATTTGTTGCCAATAGGCTTGCCATAATTCATGCAGCAACTACAGTCAACCAGTGGCACTATGTCAACTCTAAAGATAATCCAGCAGACTGTGCGTCAAGGGGAATACCAGTAGTAAATAGATTTCTTGAATCAGCAGCATGGTTCAGTGGTCCTGAGTGGTTATGGAAACCAGATGTTTCATGGCCGTCTACTGAAATCATTAGTGATTCGTCAGAAATTGACAGTGCTGAAATAAAAGACAGCGGCAACACAGCAGTTAAAACAGAAACAGTGGAAGGAATGGAAAGATTACTCCAGCACTTCTCTTCCTGGAAAAAGCTGAAAACAGTGACTGGATGGCTACTCTTAGCACGAGAAAACCTCAAAGGAATAATGGAGAGGAAAAGAGAATGGAGATCAAGAATGACATCGGAGGGATTGACAGAAGAGAAAATACAAGAATTAGAAAAGAAGGAAAAGCATAACAGATTGAAAAATGATACACAAAGACCTTCATTAAATGTAGACATTCTTGACAGAGCAGAAACAGACATTTTGAAGTATGTGCAGATGAAGCATTTTGCCCAAGAATTTAAAGACTTGAATTCAAGTGAAAATGGAGTTGTTAAAAGGTTATCAAGATTAGCCAAGTTAGACCCAATTGTTCACAATGGAGTTCTACGTGTAGGCGGTAGACTTAAGAAACTGGATACAACTCTTAACAATAAACATCAAATTATTATTCCCAAAGAGTCTGTATTAGCCAGTTGATAGCAGAGGAAGCACATAAATCTGTCGGACACTTGGGAAAAAATTCAACGCTGGCACTTATTCGTGAGAAATATTGGATTCTTGGTGTGTCATCAATTTTGAAGTCCATCATTTCCAGATGTGTTATATGCAGAAGATATCAGGCACCTACTTTGAAACAGAAAATGGCAGACCTTCCCAGCGAGAGACTGAAACCTGATGACCCCCCTTTTACTCGAGTGGGAATGGATTATTTTGGTCCATTTGAGCTTAAAAGAGGAAGAAGCATAGTAAAACGGTACGGTGTCATATTTACTTGTCTGTCTTCCTGAGCAGTACATTTAGAGGTTGCCTTTTCCTTGAATACAGACTCCTGTATTGACGCTATTCGAAGGCTTATTGCACGACGAGGAAAACCAACTTATATAATGTCTGATAATGGAACAAATCTGGTAGGTGCTGAACGTGAGCTAAGAACAGCACTTCATTCCTGGAATACGAACAGCATTTCCAGTCAATTATTACAGCCAGGAATTGAATGGAGCTTTAATCCACCGGCTGCGTCTCACTTTGGAGGAGTATGGGAACGCCTCATCAGGATAGTCAGGAAAATCATGTATTCTGTTCTACATGAACAAACAATTCATTTGGATGATGAGGGACTGTTAACCTTGTTTTGTGAAATTGAAGCTATTATGAATGGACGACCCCTTACAGAAGCTTCAGATGATCCGAATGACCTTTGTGCACTTACACCAAATCATATACTACTCATGAGATCAGGAGAAAGCTTTCCCCCTGGAATTTTCCATACGTTTGACAACTACGCAAAACGTCGATGGAAGCAGATTCAGTATTTGGCTGATGTTTTCTGGACACGTTGGATCAGAGAGTATGTACCCCTTCTCCAACAGAGACAGAAGTGGCTGAAGCAGGAAAGAAACTTACAAAAGGGTGATTTAGTTCTCATCGTGGAAAACACTCCAAGAAACGCATGGAATCTTGGTAGAGTGCTCGAAGTGATTAAGGACAACTATGATGTTGTGCGTGTTGCAAGGATAAAGACAGTGTCTTCCATTATTACGCGGCCAGTGACAAAACTTTGTCTTCTTTTGGAAACAGATTGTGAAAAAGAGAAAACAAATCGGTGAACCTTTGTGCAATGAAACGTTTAATGAATTAACTCATTTTGATACATTGTTTTGTCCATTTTTGATAAATATGTTTTTGTAAAAACACATTTAGGGGCCGGTGTAATGGACAATCTGTATATTTTATTCTGAATTCCAATTTTGTCCGTAAGTTTCGATTTCTGTGCATTCCAATTTTATCAGAATGAAACGTTTATCAAATGTTGAGAAATGCACGAGCGCCATATTTAGATCAATGAGTGCAGTAGTTTGTTGTGTTCTAGCTGAAAGTACCAGACATACATCACGGTAATTATATATTAATTATTTATTACATACTGTTTGCTATATGCATTTACTTGTTACATTGAATTTGAGTAGGAATTTGTCATATTACCACTGTTTACAAAGTTTAATATAAGGAGCACTTTTTGTGTCATGATTTATATTGATAAAAGGTTACATTATATGTATATTCTGTATTAAGTACAAGTATTTATTATATTTACATTTCATTTGTAGTCAATCTATGTCAGAAACAGAGACTTAGTCATAATATGTCAGAGACAAGGACTTTGTTATACAATGCCAGAATGTGTCCATGTTAATAAAGACATTGAATTGAACCTGTGTCGTTGGTACAAGAGAACACTACAGTCAAGTTTTAGTAATTTTACGCATACCAACTTCCATTTGAGTGAAGAAACAGTATTTGTTTTCAAGACACAACTTGCTCCCAGCACTTTTCACACACAGTGATGTTCAAATAAAATACAGTGTATTAAAGGAAAACTCAATCCTCAAAAATGGCAGGACATCGTTGAACTTTTATGTTTTTTCGATGTTTTTTCATGTTTATTTTCATGCTAATGAGCTGAAATTAAAACGCACTGACGATCAGGATCAAGGGCAGATAATCATTTCTAAATATTGGAAGGCGCGGTAAATTTGAAAACACTAAACAAACATTTATAGCGTATATCCTTGGATATTCTTACTTGTTTATCAAATAAACATTTTTAAGATTGTTAATATGTTTTTATTATACCCCCGCTCCGAAGGAGAGGGGGGCATACTGTTTTACCCTTGTGTGTCTGTCTGTGTGTCTGTCTGTCCGTAACAAATTTTTCGTCGCAGTTTTCTCAGCAACTACTCATTGCAGGTGCTTGAAATTTTAATACACTCTTTGTTTAGGCATGCCATATGGTGGGATTTATTTTTGTACGAATTCGTGATCAACTTCCTGTTTATCCGTGCGTCAGTCCGTACCATACATAAATTTTCGTCACAGTTTTCTCAGCTACTACTCATCGCAGATGCTTGAAATTTTAACACACTCTTTGTTTAGGCATGCCATATGGTGGGATTTATTTTTGTATGAATCCGATGTCAACTTCCAGTTTATCCATGCTTATAGTGTATTTTCACAATACACATCAGAGCGGGGGTATTAGTAGTAAGCATTGGCTCACAGACTTCTTGTTATTTTTTATTCAATTTCATGGGTTTCAACATCATGGAGTGTAAATACTATTACATCAAACATGCACCACAGGCCTTATGGAAAACGAATTTGCTGTGCAAATGCTACAGCACAACCAAGATTTTGTCCAGTAATATCTATGTATGTTAATAATACATACATACATATATATATATATATATATATATATATATATATATATATTATGTGCATATTTTCAACACTTGAAGAAGGATCCATGCCCCTTTTTCCCCCGATATAGTTTTTGTGTGCCACTGCTTAGACTTGGGCATAGTAGCATTCAACAGACTGGTATGCAACAATCAGACCTTTGAATAATTCAATAAAATTCAGACATATAAAAAACATATAAAAAATATTTCAGCATGTTTTATTTTTAATTAAGAAATTAATTACATGTACATATATACTGTGTCCTGAAAAAAAAATCTCAAAACAAAAGACATTTAAACATGTGAAATATAAAATAAACATTAAACAATATTAAAGGTGTTTCAAACTATGTAAAATATTCAATAATAAAACTTTCAATCAATTTTAAAGTCAAGAACAAGCTACAAATTTATTAAATAAAAATGATGAAAAAATAAAACTGCTGCCAAAATAAAAAATAAAAAATAATAATCATGAACTGATGAATTAAAAAATTATCTTTTTTTTCGTTTTTAATTTTTTTTAAAAACTAGAAATATGTCCATAGGACATGAATGCCCCGCCGAGGGTATATTAGTAATGCAACATTTTAACACAAATGAGAAAAGTGAGGTCAAGGTCAAAGGAAAGGTCAAGGTGAAAAAATATTGATGCAGTTGAATAGCTTACATCAGTATGTATCAGCATATGAAGTTTGACACAAATTTAAGAAAAGTGAGGTCAAGGTCAAATGAAAGGTCAAGGTAAAAAAAAATTGTTTATGCAGTTGGAAGGTTACATCGGTATGTATTAGCATATGAAGTTTGATAAAAATATTATGAATGGTTTTAAAACTAAGCTAAACACTAATTAAAGAAAAGTGAGGTCAAGGTCAAAGGAAATGTCAAAGTCAAAAAATATTGTTGCAGTTGAATAGCTCTCATCAGTATATATCAGCATATAAAGTTTGACACTAATTTAAGAAAAGTGAGGTCAAGGTCAAAGGAAAGGTCAAGGTCAACAAATATTGATGCAAATGAATAACTTAAATCAGTATGTATCAACATATGAAGTTTGATTACACTATCTTGAATGGTATCTTTAAAACTGAGCTAAACAATTTAACTGAGGTCAAGGTCAAAGGAAAGGTCAAGGTCAAAAAATGTTGATGCAGTTGCATACCTCTCATCAATATTTATCAGCATATGAAGTTTGATAAAAATATCTTGGATAGTTTCTTTGAAACTGAGCTTTGAACAGAGCTAAACGCAAAGTGTGACGGAAGGACAGAAGGACGGCAGACGGACATGACAAACACTATATGCCCCGGCCATATTCATGGTTGGGCATAAAAATTTCATGTTATATTTTTTTAATAAACTATTTATTTAGAGATTATTAAAGATAATTTTATAATATGGCTGACAACAACATTGACCTTGAATAACAACAAGCAGTATTCGTAAAAAATAATAGTCTGTGAGTATAAGAAATTGATTTAGTAGCAGCCATTTCAATTAAGGAACAAGCCTCAACATTTTGTTAATAGCAACCAACAGAATTTTTTAATTCAATCAAGAATCAAGCCTCAGTATTCCATTAGTAGTAGTCAACCAATACTCCAACATTAGCAGCCAAACAAAATGTTTTTATGCAAACAAAGATCAAGCCTCAATGTGTAATTAGTAGCAACCAACCAAAATGTTTTAAATCAATCAAGGATCAAGCCTCAAAGTTCAAACATAAGAGACAAACAAAATGTTTCAAAAAACAGAAATCGTGCATCATTGCCCAATTGGACACTTGTTGTTAGATAGCAAAAATGTTTAAAAACAGTCAAGAATAAGACATCAACGTTTGAGTAATATTAGTCATCATGATTTTTTGCAATTTTGCCAAAGTCATCATTGGGCGTAGCAGTAAAGATCCTGAAAGTATTCACTGGTGGTCTTCAAAAGATGCTACACTGCTTGATTCTGATACCAATAAGAAATCGTCAAATGTATCTGCAACATTTAGATTTCATTTCTAAAATAATGTAATGAACAATTACCCAAAAATGCATTTGCCCTACGATAAATTTGTATGTCAATTACCACGAGTTCAAAATTATATCTATCTTAAGTGAGATCTCGCGGGAAGTGACGAGATTATTGTAAACCAACTATTATTCGCGTCAACTTTTATTCGCGATTCCTCAGTTTGAAATCAATCCACGACGATTAATTTTTGCGACCTGAGGAAATATTCTCTAC